TTCCACTTCCCATCCAGTCCTTTCTGTAGTGCTAAAGCCCTAATAGAAGTAAGTTTAGATTTTCTCAGGTTCTGAATATCCCATCTCACTCGGGATCCTTTTCAATTAAAAAGAATTGTTTGTTTCTATCAAAATTAGATATATTCAGAGACTAAGCGTTAGTCTACAGACCCTGAAACAAATCTATCCCAATGCAGCCCATGCAAGTGTAGATTAAATGCCAAGTCTTGATTATCACTAGGAGTGGGTATTGCAGAGAATTTTCATATTGCGATATATTGCGATGCCGAAGCATATATTGCGATATGTATTGCAATATATTGCAAAGATTATTTTTTTAACAAAAACTACTTATAATCGAGTTAATGCTTGATTATAAAGCAAAAACACAACAAAATCACTATGATTGATTAACCTTTTATTAAAAATTTAATCATGACAAAATAAAAATGTAAGTAACATTTGGCACTAATGAAACAGGGAAAAGAACAATTAAAAAAACGGAAATATCCGAAGATTTCCAACTGTTACGAAGTTTTCCGAATGCATGTCAAAATACCGGTTTTCGATCCGCGTATCGCAATACGTATCGTTTTCATGTCTGAACCGGTAAATACCGGTAAACCGGCTATATTGCGCAGCCCTAATTATCACGGTTTCTGAAAAAGAAGAAAGTCCTTAGGACTAGGCTGAAAACCAATTATGTGTTGGTTAGTTCTCTTTCTGATTCTTGTACTTTGATTTAAGACAAACGGATGGCGGTGGGGTAGCTAAGTGGTTAGCGCTCGTCGCGCCGAAGATCCAGGTTCGATTCTAACATGGGTACAATGTGTGAAGCCCTGGTATGCCCCGCGATATTACTGGAATATTGCTAAAAGCGGCGTAAAACTAAACTCACTCACTCACTTACTCATATAGAAATTACCGTCAGGCGATCGATCATCGATGATTGTTGTTATTTTTCCAAAAATATTTTTCTGAATTATAATTAAGTGGTCAAGATGTGGCGATCAGAACCGTTTGTAACTTGTAAATCAGAACAATGTATATCACAATGTGAAACAACTCAGTTTGTAGGTGACTGACGGGCGTGCTGGAAACATATATTGACAAATATGTCATGACTGTGAAAATGAGAACAGATTGTAAGTGATAGATTTGTGCAAGCTGTAAAAAGGTGAAGCTAAATGTAGCTAACGAGCAGATCGAGAAAATACGATGCGGTCCTTATTGATTATATGTCAAAACCAAAATTAACGCACTGTCTTTGATAAGAAGATATTTTCAATCACGACTGCAAAAAAATAGGTTACAATTTAGATCAACAGCCACGCGTATGTATTCATTCCAGGTGCTGGTGGAACTAAGTTCGTCAAGGTCACTGCTAGTTATAAGGACAATACATAATTAAATATACTCACAGGGATCGCTTTCATGACAGGAACATTTGTTGATGAATATTTCAAGCAATTGTTAGTGTTGCCATGGAAACGCTGCGCGGAATATAAGAGAACTAACTTAATAGTTAGTCACCGAAAGGAAACTGACAATACAAATGCAGGGATTAACTACACGTAACAAGCTGCGTTCTCTTCGCCGTATAATTGTGATTTTGGGCCGGCTAAATGCATGAGATAAAATATTTCAGCCAAAATATATATTACTGAAGAACAATTATTATTCGGCTCTTCACGGGTTACACTGTGACTCCTGGGGGTGACTATATAGCATATGCTCGTATGAATCATACAAGTGATACAAATTGAACCTTGCATGTAACATAATACAGATCTATCTAATCGGGTAAGATTTGTTTAGATTTAGATTGGTTATTGTTTAACGCCGCACTCAGCAATATTCCAGCTATAGGGCGGCGGTCTATAAACAATCGAGTCTAGACCAGACAATCCTGTTATCAACAGCATGAGCATCGATCTCGGCAATTGGGATACAATGACATGTGTCAATCAAGTCAGCGAAACTGACCACCCGATCCCGTTAGTCGCCTCTTACGACAAGCATGGGTTGCTAAAGACCAATTCTAAGCCGGATCTTCACGGGTAATCGGGTTTGAAATACGCCCTGCTATCTACGTCTACACAATGATCGTCATGAATCAGACTATAGGACACCGGACAATATCACATAGATGCAACAATATCACATAGATGCAACAATATCACATAAATGAAACAATATCACATAAATGAAATTCTCCTTAATGTTGTCGAATTAAAGTCGAAGAATTTCAACAATCTTGAAAATAAAAGTAATATTTTAAATTTTCAAAATAGAATTTTGGTTGACCCAAACAGGCGTACTTCCCTTTGTTACACTGCAATAATTTGTGATATTTTAAGGGGTGTGTCTTGCTTAGAAATTAGAATTATTTTTACCAAATTACTGCTCATGTCACTTGAATGTCAAGGTCATCTATGGCCGACAAGTGAGTACGATTGCCGATGATTTTGGAGAAAATGCCTGCTTACTGTCGAGGAAATGATATGTAGATGTTGCAATCAGTTTTTAGACCCGTGGAATATGGCCGCCGGTCGAATCTAGCCCTACATAGGTGATGTCAACGTGGCTGGAATTAATAAACGAATTTAAAAGGTGAGTTTTCGCTGTCTTGGCTGATCCATGATTTTGGCTTGGAATTGTGGAGGCAGCTGTTTTCGGTGAGTTGTGGCGTATAGCTTTTCAAATAATAATCCGATTGTGACCATTTATAGCTCATTTTGTAGGGAAATCATCTAGCTTTTGATTCGTAGGCCTCGGCGGGGCCTTACAAATATTTTACCTGGTGAAATATAACTTTGATTGAGCAGAGGGTGGTTTCGTCGTTACATTCCTTTCCTTTTATGTAGTAATAGGGTTGGGTCTATACACCTATATGTCTTTCTAACGCTGTTTCTAAGCAACACACGCCCGTATGACTATAACATCATCACGAGTGTCTGTGTCACTGAACGTGTCGTCCTGGACTTGCCCATGCAGCATTGTTCAATAATATATACAAATTACACGTGTCTCTAGTCCCAGGCACTGTAAACTTCCTGATTTCTCAGGCATCAAGTTTGGGGGATATGAAACCAGTTATTGATCTATTATCATAAGTGTGGAACGACTGAAATGCGATTCGTGGCCTTGAGATTTAATACATATTTTGCTTCCAAACGAATTTGCCTGGCTATATTGTCTCTAAAACAGTGGACAAATCAGCGTGTGAATTCAAAAACTCTCCTTCTCAGATGATTATTACTTCAAACGCTTACATATTCACAAAGTTACTTTACACGAATTGTTAGTTCGCACGATTTCAGAATGAACGTACCGTCCGGATGGACGGGGTTTCACTGTAAACAGAATATTTTTCCAAGAGTGTGCTATATAGTTATGGGGGCGATGGGGTAGACAAGTGGTTAAGGCGTTCACTCGTCACGCTGAAGACCCGGGTTCGATTCCCCACATTGGTACTATGTGTGAAGCCCATTTCCGTTGTCCCCCGCCATGATGCTGGAATATTGCTAAAAGCGGCGTAAAACTAACCTCACTCACTATATCACGTTGAATCAGCTTGATGTGTGTTTCAGATGATGGACATCTTAAAACGGTTACCTTAGAAACCCACGTGTATGGACATATGGTGCTGACAAACTTAGAAACATAGTTAAAACATGTTAGCACATAATTAGCACAATTATATTATGCTCTTTTACTCGTAAATGTTCCCTCATAAAGATTCTTCATCTATGTTGCTATGAGTACAGCTAAATTTCACTTTTATGGACATTTTGCTTCGTCTACAACTGATCGTATAAAACGGTCCTGCGATAACGAGGTTCAAATCTGATTATTAATTTATCCCTGAACTTTAAATTACAGGCTTCTGTTTTGAAGGGATCACGATAAGGTATCCGATATTTCTTCTTGGTAGTGCTGTGTTTGTTCAGTAAGGCTTCTCGTAACATTTGATAACTACCCCATTAAATCAGATGTTGTATGTGCGCCGCAGTTTGCAGTTTGTAGTACAGAGTTGCGTCCCTTGGGCACGCCAGCACCTTGGATTGTGGGTTGAAATACCAGTTCGCCCCAAATACGTTTCTTGGTTTGTCAACACGGTGATAACGGTGCTCGAGGTACAACGATAAACGCCTGAGACCTGAATCACTTGAGACTGTTCCACATTAATCTGACACGCCGGGGTATAACTGCATTACTGTTTAAAGTAATGAGACCCGTTTCGTGTAAATAACACTGAACATCAAAGTGTGATCGGAGTGCAAGTTATGAGTGAGTGATTTTTTACGCCGCTTTTAGCAATATTCCAGCAATATCACGGCGGGGAACATAAGAAATGGGCTTCACACGTTGTACCCAAGTGGGGAATCGAACCCGGGTCTTTGGCGTGACGAGCGAACGCTTTAACCACTAGGCTATCCCACCGCCCTTGCAGGTTGTGAAAAGACACTGTAGAATCCTTGAGCTGTCTCAGTTTGATAGGTATATATGTTTGTAATAACAAGCGGTTAGTTAAAATTGTATCAATACGGAACGGCGGGTGAGTGTTGGTTTGTGTAACAGTGAAATATTGCAAATCAGACGAAATATTTAGCTCACTCGTTTAATAGTTCATAATAATAACATAATATCACTGAAACTAACATTTATACACAGCGCATCAATATATTAAAGGAGGAAATTTGTGAATGCCATCTACTTTACACAGACGAACAGTCTATGAGGAACATAAACAGTCCTCTTTAGCAATCGCTAGCCATGTCACAAAGCAATACACTCAATCTACTACACGCGTCAGTCGGAATTAAGTGTGGAAGTTTGGACAGTCATAACGCCCAGATTGCATAGAGGAACCAGAGCATGAAGATTGTTGAAATCAAAACCAAATGACAGCTCGAATAATAATCGAACATTATGCCGAACTCTGCACACCCCATGTACCGCTAGCGCCCCCTACTGTTGTGATTGAACGCTGGCATTCAACGCGCTCTTGTATAGAAACCGATTCAAGTCAGGGCCTGATACCTATCCGACTTGCCCATTCCTCTAATAGCCATTGTTCTACTGGGTTGCAATAGGTAATGCCTGCCATGTCAACGCCGACAGTCACGTGACTTGCTCGACCCTCAGTCAGAGTGAAATCTACGGGTGTAAGCATTGAGCTAGAGACTCCTCCACTGTTATATGGAAAAGCAACAAACCCCAGTCGTATTTTCCCGAAACGCGAGAAGGTACGTGACCTCGTTACTTCAATGCAATGAATATTTGTTAAGTAATTTTCTTTTCATTGTTTGTTTACACAGTCGTGCAGATTTCACCTGTCCGGTTACAGGTGTAAATACACCTGTATATAACCGAACTATTTAACATGTCATCTAAAATATATACGCACGGTTACTTAACACAAACATGCCTTCATTGATTACAGAACTAGATCTAAATAATATATGGTAATTGAGTATATTGTTAATGTTTTCGTGTATACATTATACATACCGGTGTTGTATTGACCGAGTGGTGTACGTTAGTGGTGGGCTCTTGTTCGCAGTAGAAACTATGAACCCAGGCACAACTTTGGTGTGAATGAACACAGGTTTTAATGATGGGTGTTTGATGTTTTTTACATTGAACTGTTGATAGTCCCACTGTGGGACAAGTGTACCGGACGATTCCAGTGTTAACTGGAACGTGTCCAGATCATGTACCCGGTAACAAGGTGGTCGGGTATTTGTTTTGACAGACGTGTAGCAACTATATCGATTGTGTAGATTACATTTTGTAGGGTTATCTGCAAACGTTTTGTGACCAATGACAGTAGATTAGCTAAATGCGCTGTGGGTCGTATCTATATCCCGAGGGCACCGCACGCCATTATGTAAGGAGTTATTGGAATCCATGCTGACGTTGTTTACAGGCCCATAATTCCACACTGCGAGAGGAAGCGTGGTTGACCCAGGGAACAAGGTGAAAGAAATGATTATTAATGATTATGGTTCTGAAGTATGTGTTTGAGATGGGGTTTTAAGTGTTTTTCAAATGATTATTTTTACATTTTTATTATTATTATTATTTTTGTGTGTATGGTGTGAAATTATTTTTTATTTTTTATTGTGGCTCTGAAGTGGTTTTAGGTGACATGTAATTGTTTTGTTTTGTATATTAGGATTTTCTGTTGAAATGTTTCTGGGGATGGTAGGACTTCAATATGGGTGGATGTGTCACTCCCGAGAAGACATGTGATCATGTCTTCTCTATTAGCATCATAACAACATTTGATCATCGTCATATATCATATGATATAGCCTTACGTCATATGATACATCACAATATCAATGATTCATTTGTGTTATATTGATTAAACGTAACAAGTATCCTTGGAATATGTCAATCAATCAAGCAATGTGACTGACCAATCAGCAATCAATCAAGCAATGTGACTGGCCAATCAGAAAAGTCCAAACTTATACATGATCCGCCATTCTGTCCGACAACTTTAAATCCAGTCCGACTTTTATCGAAGTGATAGATGTGTTCCACATACCTTCAATAATGGCATTTAGATACACCAGTACTTCCTGAAATGTAACATGATTCATTATTAGAAACATACAGATCCTCTAAATTACTTACACATGCCGATGGCGGATTCGTCCCCATTGTGACGAAGTCTATTCCTCTCTTGTGAAAGGTTAACTTAAATGCTGCCATCTTAATTATATGAAAACTGTTTCATTATTTTCATGTTTAATAATAGTGGTTGATATTTTCATGTCATGTTGTAAATATCACATTACAATATTTGTTATATTCCAATCGTTTTATTATCAAACTCTAGATTCAGTTTTACATTTAACATACATATAAATGCATTTTGCTCTGTTGGAAAAAGGGCGAATGTTTACGCTACGGACCAGATTAAAATATCGTGGTCATTACTGTAATATATAATTTTGTTCCACCTTTATCTATGCCATCAGTAGAATATTTAATCATTGTATGTAGTGGGTGAGTTAAGACTTACGCCGCTTTTAGCAATATTCCAGCAATATCACGGCGGGGGACACCAGAAATGGGCTTCACACATTGTACCCATGTGGGGAATCGAACCCGAGCCTTCGCCGTGACGATATCATTCTATGTACAATATAATGCTGGTAACTATCAATACCAACACAGTAACAGTACAATGCCTAATTCTGTAATGGTGTCTCAAGAGATATGGCTGATATCGACGAACCATTAACTCATACCCAGATAACTAACCATAACACATTAATCTGTTGATAGGATGACCGTATTGGTGCGGTACAATAGGGTTAATTACGACCAGCTGGACGTTGAATGACCACCTAACGTTGTGTATAAGGGGTGTTTCTATGTGTCGGTGATTGTACCATTGTGAGTACGTATTGTCTCAGAAGGAATCATGTTGCAATAATCGGCAAACAACATGCAATCTGGTCTCATTAGAGTTCTCTGACCTTCAGGCCCGAACAATCACCCACACTGTGTCAACGACGCGGCACGACATACAGTGAGATTTTCAATGCTGAGCGATATAATCAGAATTAAGGAGCATATGGTATCCAACAGCAACGATCGGACCGGGCAGCAATACGGGCATGTTGCGTTCCTACACAGAATTAACATTGATGTTTTACCTTTTTTATTTCGTGTAAGGTATACATACGTTTATGTCACACCCCGGTGTTAGTAGCAGGCTTAGCATGGGACCATGTACAGCGTCACGAATCATGTAATGTATAACGCCGTGAATGGTGTCGATTACATATTTTCAGTACCTTCCATTAATTAAGGTTGTGTGTGTGAGTGCATGTTGTTTTACACCAAAGTGAGTAATACTCCGGCTTAACCACGGCAAAACGTAAACGGTGTTTCCGTCTCGCAAACCGCATGTTGGCAGCAACGGTTTATACAGAGTTTGTATTATGGCAGTCAGCCAAGTCACTCATTGAGACCACCAGGTGTCCGTGTTAGGCGGTTTAGATGACTTGCTTGCAATCCTGGGGCAATATTTTATTCAATTTTTTAATCTATATTTGTTGTATTATTTCTTGTTGAACGCCGCAGTATTCCAGCTGTATGTCGGCGTTCTCTAAATAATCGAACACGGACTTACATCAACTAAGTCATCGTGCCTGACCACCCGATCCCGTTAGTCGCCTCTTACGACAAGCATGGGTTGCTGAAGACCAATTCTAACCCGGATATTCACGGGTTCTGGTGTAATATGTGATAGACCATGGTTCAGAAGAGTTCTTCTTTCACGTGCTGTAGGCACTGGACCATGTACAGCGTCACGAATCATGTAATGTATAACGCCGTGAATGGTGTCGATTACATATTTTCAGTACTTTCCATTAATTAAGGTTGTGTGTGTGAGTGCATGTCTCTCTTAGAAACCTACCACTGTGAGTTCGAATCCAATATTCACGCTGAAGATGGTTTTAGGTTTGTCAGTACCATACCATTCGTGGGATTCAGCAAATGATAAACTAGGGGGCCTGAATCACTTCGTCGATTATCTCACATACTTTCCCAGTATATGTGATGTGGAGAACATGTAGATAGGGGTGACTATTGAGGGGGAAACAACTATTGCGATAGGGACAGTCACTTGCGACCAACTATTGCACTACTTTGCAATAGTTTTTTTCTCTCCTTGAATTGTCTCATTTGAAGTCATTTTCCAAGTGAATGTATAGTTTATATGAAATAAAAACAAGCTGAAGTAGTTTCAGTCTCTTTTAATAACTGGCAAGAAACTAGAAACCTAGTTCAAGTTTGTTTAAGATGTAACAGGGGTGGATACCTCTAAATCAAAGTGAACGAATCTAGTACTTACTGTATTTCGCGCTGCGCGTTTATCAACGGAAGTCAATTACTAAACTATCGATAGTCACACATTATCGATGCATGGATAGTTTTTCGTTTCTGCAATCGATTAATTACAATCGGAGACTCAACAACTGCAATCCATCGATAGTCCGATGCATCGTTACAGCCCTACATGTACACATTCTCTTGTTTTATGTTTATGTGAACATTTAATACTTATTTCACAATCATATATTTCGCAAAGCTTTTTAAATGAATATACATGATAATTACAATATTTTCCTTTCTTTATAGGAAATATTTTCCAAGGGATGTAGTTTCCATATGTTCGTCATGAAAGTCAGCACCTAATATATATTTATCTGATCACAAGTTGAAAATCACGATGAACAAAAAACATATCTGTGTTGCTGCTATAACGGCAGCGATAGAGAGCATTCCGTTAAGCACATACAGTGTGTGGAGTTTGTAAGGTGGCATTCAATCAATATGAACCGGTACGCTCGTTCAGTGACTTTTGACTCAGGCGCTCTCTTATAAACGCGATGTAAAGAGTTCTAGCGTGTCATTGGTTCATATAGAATACAATTGAGGTTCTGGTAACGACGTTACAAAAAGTTCTCAGAGTTGGCGTTAAGTCTTTTGAGACTAATTATCAATAAAACAGGGCAGCTGTCAACGTCGTCGCCAAGGACATTGCTTGCCGTACATGTAATACAACAAGATCTGGCCTATATATTGGTATTCAAGCCTCACGCGTGTAAAGAATATATTCTCTACTTGTATTATAAGCATGGACCAGTCACTGCCTACTTGGGGACCCCGGCATATATCTGTTTAGTCGAATAAACTCCTTCAGATAAGATTTATAAAGAAGTCACTCACTTGCTTGTCAGAGCAGATATATAAAGGCAACTTCCTGGTAACAGTTGCTCTCCAAGGTGACTACGTGTTAAGTCAACACGAGTGGACGATATGACGTAAGTAGGATTTCGTGTTGTTGGGAGTATCGCTGTAAGCTGTAGAATTGAGGAATACATGGTGAATAATTGTATAATACATGGTGAATAATTGTATAATACATGGTGAATAATTGTAGAATGCATGCTGAATAATGCTAGTCTCATGCCAATTATGGTTGTCACCCATGCCAATAATGGTTTTCACCCCTGGGGGGTTTTTATTGGGGTGGGGAGGGGGTTGACAACCATTATTGGCATGAGTATAGAATGCATGGTGAATAATAGTAGAATGCATGATGAATAATTGTAGAATATATGGTAAATAATTGTAGAATATATGGTGAATTATTGTAGAATAGGTGGTGAATAATTGTAGAATAGATGTTGAATTATTGTAGAATAGGTGGTGA